ATTTAGGGTGTTTTTTTAGCAACTGGTTGCTGTTTTTCAAGCGGCTTTTTAGGCACCAAACATGGATGGTTTTTAGTGACCTGTCACTGTTTTTCCTGCAGCTTTTCAGGCACCAAACATGGGTGTTTTTTTTAGCAACCCTTTGCTTGTTTTAAAAGTGGCTATTTAGGCACCAACCTTGGGTGGTTTTTAGCAACCTATCGCTATTTTCCTGCAACGTTTCAGGCACCAATTTAGGGTGTTTTTTAGCAACTTGTTGCTGTTTTATAAGCAGCTTTTCAGGCACCAAACATAGCTGGTTTTTAGTGACCTGTCACTGTTTTTCTGTAGCTTTTCAGGCACCAGTTTGGGGTGTTTTTTAGCAACCGATTGCTGTCTTACAAGCAGCTTTTTAGGCACCGAACATGGGTGGATTTTAGTGATGCATCACTTTTTTTCCTGCAGTTTTACAAGCAGCTTTTCAGGCACGAAACATGGCTGGTTATTAGTGACTGATCACAGTTTTTCCCTCAGCTTTTAATGCACAAATTTGGGGTCTCTTTAAGTGACCAGTTGCTGTTTTACAAAAGACCTTTGAGGCACCAACCATGGGTGGTTTTTAGTGAGCCCTCACTGTTTTTCCTGCAGCTTTTCAGGCACCAATTCAGGGTACTTTATAGTAACCCGTCACTGTTTTACAAGCAGCTTTTTAGGCACCAAACATGATTGGCTTTTAGTGACCTGACACTGCTTTTCTAGCGGGGATAGTGCCATGAGAACTGCTTTGTTTTTTTTACTGAGCCATTGCTGCATTTCCTGTGCCATGAAAAGTGGTTGGTTTTTTTTACCAAGACATCACTACATAATCTTTTCCTACCCATAACCAAGTGGATTTTGTGTGTAATCCTATACATGTTAACCACAGCATTGCTGAAACATAATGTTCCAGCATATCCACTACATAATCATGTACAAATGTTATGTATCTGGGGTTTGCAGAAATGTACAATGCCAGCATTTATTTTGAAAAAAAAAGGCCATGGCTGTTTCAGCTTTTATCAATGGAAAGGGCAGTGTTACTAAAGGCCAAATCTCAGATTGGTGTAGCACCATTAGCTGACTGTGAATATTGTTTATAATGTGGCCTATGTGGGCTTTAACTGCTGGTGCAAAAAAAGCTCTGTGGTCCAATCACAGATCAGAGTACAGCAGTTATCATGTGATCAATGCAAGCCAGCCACATTGAGTGAATCTTTTGCACAGCAATATGCATTATTGAGTACTTAGCTCCTGAAAGCCTATTAAGAAATTAACTATGACAGCTAGAACGATAAAAGGAGCTGCAAAACATTAACTAGACCTCTTTCAAAAGCACACTCTCAGAGAATGTAAATATTTAATAAGGAATGTGTTCAAAAACTGCTTGAGTGTATTTACAGACATGATGGTTCCTTTGGGCTGGACATGGACTAGTTGTGGGACCATTTAAAGCTGCATTTTTTTTGGTAACAATTGACCTAATGACTGTGTGTAATGTAACGACAGGTGTTACTTGTGGTGATGAGCCCACAGAGAAAGGTCACTCCTGGGCTCTAGAGAGCATTTTAGCATCGTTCAGCTCATCGATTCAGTTTTTCAACAAACTCAGCTGTGTTTTCAGATGCAGCATGAAGATGGTCCACTAACAAACGGGAGAAAGACAAAGCCAGCAGCTGGCTGGTGAACACAGAGGAGCATTTAGCTGTAAACAGGAGCTGGTGGAGACCAAAAACAGAGCTAAAAGGAAAGGAGAGTGATGCTGTTGCGGCGCGCACGCACTCCTGAGCACCTAATTTTCAGGGCATGACGGCTGCGTCCTGAGGTAAACTGAGTTCAACTTTTGGAACTGGTCATCAATAGCTGTTTGATAATTCACCTCATAGATCTTGACACACTGCTTTCTCCTACATGAAAGTATATGAGTCACTTTTAATGATAAAAAGTATAGCATCAGTTTAGATATATCGGAGTTTCTAGCTGTGTATTACTTGGTATCAGATCGAAATCAAATTTTGTGGTATCGCCCACCCCTGGTAATTAGCACTACAACAGTAGCTGTGACACACTTGGATATGAGGTGGCAGGTGTGAAGGAGAAAACAAAGATGGAGCCTCAAGACACGATCTACTGTTCTGTCAAAGAAATTAGAAACTAACATTTCAATGCTTAGGCAGGTTATCTTACAGTACAGTACAGTATGTTGCAGGGCTAAATGAAAAATGAAAAACTGTCACACACTGGCCAGTAAAAGAGCAAAAAAAGTCACCCTGGCTGGATAATCATTAGGGGACGCTGGTGTGTTCAGACAGCCTCAGGATGGCTTCCTGCTAGTGTTAGCATGCAGTCTGTGGGCTCTGTATCTGCACAACATCCCATGTTCAGTCAGAATGAGTCACAGGACGTTTGTCATGCCATGCTGCAGGCCTGAGGGCTGTCCACAGCTTAAGACTGATAAACAAGTTTATTTTTGACTCAAGACACTGTCACAACAGTGTGCACTGCTTTGAGTTCATTGAAGATTACGCACCACACAGTTCCCCTGCGTTCCCTCACCTAAGTACTCCACAATGTCCTTGACGTCGGTGACCAGGTAGTCGAAGCGATAACTTTCAGTGGACAGTGGCAGGTCGGACTCCCCGTAGCCCCGCATGTCGATGGCCACCACACGGAATTCGCTCTTGAACTCGCGCAGCTGGTAACGCCAGGAGAACCTGAGGCACACAAACAGATGCAAAGATGACTTATGTCCTTCATTTCTTTGAATATTTTGCAAACTCAAAGAGACAGTTTGTTTCTTCCACAGCAGCTTATACCCTTTTAAAGGGGTACTACAGCAATTTAATATGGCACAGTATCATAGAGTTGGGGAACCCGCAAGAAACTAGTTGGAAAAGAAAGGTCAAAAACCGTGTGGCAGCAGTCCAGATATCTTGAGTTTTAGTCCCAAAACACTGGTTCCTACATTCCCCATAATGGAATTCAGTAGTGTCTGCAGATAACTCTGATACAACCCAGTCCCCAGAATAAATGTTAGCATTGTACATTGCTGCAAACCTTGGATACTTAAGCAGATATGTTGAAACTTCACATTTCAACAATGCTACGTTAATGTGTGGCAACAAAAAAACCTCAGTTACAGTGGGAAAAGATCATGTTTTGTCTTAAAATACCTGGTTTTGGTTGCCCAACCCCTGCTGGAAACACAGTGCTGTCTCTGTAAAAAAACAACCGATCTTGTTGGCAATATTCTGTCTAGAAATGCAGCAATGTCTTGATGAACAATAATGGCTTCTGGAGGTACTATCCTTACTGGAGATGCAGTGATGTCTTGTTAAAAAACAACTGTTTTTGGTGGCACAATTCCAGCTGGAAATGCAGAGATGTCTTAGTAAAAAACAATGGCTTCTGGTGGAAAATTTGGGCTAGAAATGCAGCAATGTTACAGTAAAAAAAATAACCACTTTTAGTGGGACAATTCCAGCTAGAAATGCAGCATTCACTCAGTTAAAAACAACCGCTTTTTTTGCACAATTCAACTTCAAACTTAGAGATGTCTCAGTAAAAAAACAATGTCTTCTGGTGACAAAATTCTGGCTAGAAATGCAGCGATCTTACAGTAAAAAAAGAACTGCTTTTAGTGGCACAATTCCAACTTGAAACTTAGAGATGTCTCAGTAAAAAACAATGGCTTCTGGTGACAAAATTCTGGCTAGAAATGCAGCAATGTTTTGGTAAAAAACAACTCCCTCTGGTGGCACAATTCCAGCTGGAAATGCAGCGATGTTATAGTAAAGAACAACCACATTTAGTGGCACAATTCCAGCTAGAAATGCAGCATTCACTCAGTTAAGAACAACCTTTTTTTTCACACAATTCCAGCGTGAGACTTAGAGATGTCTCAGTAATAAACAATGGCCTCTGGTGACAAAATTCTGGCTAGAAATGCAGCACTGTTATGGTAAAAAACACAGTCATGGGTAATAAAATACAACCAGATTTGTTGTTTGCCAGCTTTGCAGGCCATTCACCTTCCCTTCCACCCTAGATGACCAAGTCAGCTTACAAACATGTAATCAGAACTACGCCACTTTAGAGTCTTTGATATGATACGTATGAAACATACAAATGTGGCGTATCCATGGTTTTGCAAAAATGTACAATGCCAACATTTTCTCCTGGAGACTGGGCTGCCTGATGACATCATTAGCGGTATTTTTCAGACTTTAGAAATCTCCCTTCAGAGCCACACAGCGCATTATCTACACAGCTGTTTTCTCAGGCTGAGTTGTGTTTCGCATGATGATTAAACTGAACTCGATGTGCAAAATTGGTGAGATAGTTACAAACTAACTTTACAAACTTTTTTAAAGCTAGCACTCAGCTTGTTTTCCAGCTGAGTGAAGGTCACTTCAGTATAATAGAAGCTGTTTTAGATTCTAATCCACCCACTGATCATGTGGACTGGGATGACTTCCTAATTGAAGATCTTGTCTGCTGTAAAGGCTCCTCATCAGGACTGAAATCCCCCTCCTCCTCCGCCTCCTCCCCCTCCACCTCCTTCTCCACCTCCTCCTCCTCATCGAACCAGGGAAAGCAAGATGCAGAGCTCTGACTGTGATTCTGATGAGTCAGTGTAAGATCCCGACACTGAACTCTCAGATCTTTGAATATAGATGAGGTTTAAAGCAAAGTAAGCCCCTCGGACCCCTCCACCCTCCCTCTGACACACACAGGCACTCTCCTCTTTCTCATTTCTGAGCGGGAATTAGCACATTTTCAGAACGTGTTAAGTGTTCTTTGCAACCATGTCACTCTCAGCACAGTTCATCATTCCCGTGAAGAATGCGGGAAGTGAAGCAGAAAGAGCTCCCCTCTTCCGTTAATTAATCCCTGTCCTGTCAGCAGCTTAGATAGTATGTTAGAGATATGGACCAGGCTTACAGCTCTTGACAACCTCTTTGGCCCCAATCCAGGAGCCATGCTCAACACCGTTTTTCATTCCATATCAGGAGGAAGAGATCTTAAATGCTTTGGACCCTTTTACCCCGATGGCAAATCATGTCTGTGAATGAGGACTCTCCACTGCATGGCGTGGATTTGTCTCTGCAGAGATTTACCAGTGCAGCTGAAACATTAGAGCCAGGGACTTCTCATAGTCAGGGGAAATTTCAGAGAGGTGACCGATGTAACAAACACCAAGCGACTGAGCAAACAGAATCTCAGTCTGCTGCTGTAGTGAAGAGGAGCTGCGACTGTTGCCGCAACCACAACTCACCCACCATCATGATTTCTTCAGACTTACCAGAACTCAGGGAAGCCGTGTAAAAACAGCATGAGCGGCTTTCCTCTCTCCCCAGCGGCAACATAGTGAAACCTAAGGCCGGACTCCTGAGGGGGAAGAAGACACAAAAACATCATGCAGACAGTCTGATCCAAAGCCACTTAGCAGAAACAAGTCAGCGTTTTAAATGATTACCAGCTGCATGGAAACAAGTGGGTAATAATTTAATTATGAGGAAAGCAATACAGGAATACCTTATTTACTTCTGACTGAACACACAACAGTGAATCACAACCTTGTAATACTGTGCATATTGGACGAGTCACTCCTGTGAACGTTGCTGCAGAGTTCCAGTCAAGACCCCTTTCAAAAAATGGATGCTGACACATTAAAAATACCCCGCTTTGAAGGATAACGTGTGTCTGATATAATCTTTACACACAAAAAAACCCACGAAACTCATCCTAAATCTATCCACTTCTTGAACTTGAACGCGACGTGTCAGTGTATCTGCTGAAAAATAATGTACAAATGTAACACATCAGTGGTCTGCAGCAATGCACAATGCAACATTTTTTATTGCGACTGGGCTGGAAAATGTGCTTATTCTGGGGTTACTCTGAGAGGATTAAAATAAACATTCTCTAAGTGGATTAACGACACGTCTGACTCATACTGTAAATTTATTAAGGTTGAGGGTGTGGTAATATCATAAAGCATACAGACTCAGCTGTATATGTTAATTTATGGGCCCGTGCTCTGAGAGCGGCTGCACCAACAGTTTATTTGAATTGCTTAAAGGTCCAGTGTGGAGGCTCTAGGGGCATCTATTGGCAGGAATTGGCAACCACCCTGACAACTGCCTACCCGTAGGTGCGTTCCCTAAAAAAACAAAGCACCTTTGAATGCTGTCACTACGGTCCAGGGCTGTGATGATGGGCAGGTACTTCGGTGAGTATTGGAAGCGCAAGCTAGATGGCGCCCATAGACTGTGAAAATAATGGACATAGCCGCTGTGACACCACCCATTGGTTTGTGGCATAGATGGTGCTGCGTAAGTAACTGCATAGATTTCTACATACTTGGACAGTTTACCAATCATCTGAAGTTTGGTGGAAATGTTATCACTGGCCTTATAAGTTGCTAGCGCTATGTTCTACATCTCCGCGTATTCTGACACCAAGATTATCAGCTCCATCTTGTGTTCTTTCTGCTTCCATGATGCCCGCCCCCTTCCATCTGACTGACTGATCAAAGTCAAGTTCAACACAAGGAAGTGTGCACAGCAGAGCAAAATCTGCTTCCCCACTGATGCTGCGAAGCATTTTGAAAGCTGCGTAAAGTGCAAGGGTGCATAACAAAGCATTAAAATAGAGCTTGTTAATAAAAAAAAGTGCTGGGAAAAGATTCCCTGGACCCCCTTGACAGGTCTGGGCTGAACCCCTGATGTCCTAAAGTCCTAGAAGCGCCCCTGCGCACATGTGCAGGGCCCCTGACCTCGTCGTTTTGCAAAAGGGGCCCCCAGGCAAAGCAAAGTATCCCTGCTTTAAGATTTTTTGCACATGATTAGCTGTTAAAGGGGTTAAACCAGTGGGTGCAGTCCAAAAGTGGGTCGTGGGTCTTTTCTAAATGGACCGCAAGTGCCTCAAGTTTGTAAAAAAAACAAAACGCACTTTATTTTAAGTACAGTGAATTTCTGGCATAGAGCTTTTATTTTGAAGTGCTGTAAAGTGAGTGAATAATGGACACCTACTTGAACTAATGACTAAGGAGAAATCTGGACCCTGTGATTGGACCAGTTGGGAACCACTGGGATAACTGTTCAACAGAGTACACAGCAATTAAAATAAACTCACCCTGGACTAGCTATAGCATTAATTAAAATACATCTTACATGAAAATGCATCAATAATCAGTCCATTAATATCATATGCAGTATTTTTTTTCTTACAGCACTCCTGTACTTTCACTTTAGCCTTTACTTTAAATGTTAATGTTGCAGCATCTTTACTTTCCTCACCTACATAAACGATGTGAGTGATTCCTGCATGGTTTGGGAAGGTTTTTTCATGACAGACATGCCTCTGTATTTAATTACATAATGTTGAGCAGATAGGTTGTTGGAGGCTGGCACAGAGAGACGTGAGGCGGAGGAGCTGTCCTTTCAGCACCACCTGAGCGCAGCGCCTGCAAACCGCGATCCCACCGAGAAAAAGAGACGTCTCAACAATAAACAGACGCCTCATGATCCGCTCAAAGATCAGGCCTGTTTGTGTTTGTGCACGACGCGACACGACAAGTGAAGGTGTTGGAGCATTTTACATGTCAACATTTTCAGCATGCAAAAGAAGCATACACACACACACAATGGGCTTTCAGACACCTTCCATGTCCAAGTGCATGTGTGCCTTACCTTGATCCTAACATAACAGTGGGTTCCCAAGGACGTGTCATTCAGACAAGCCGGGGGAGTTTCACGAATCACCCATTGGAAGGTTGTTGTCGGCCTTAAGATGATGCTCCACCAAAGTTTCAGCAGGGCTACGATGGTGCAAAGAGCACAATAACCGTATATCAATGACCAATACCCCAAAACTCTGATTTTCAGCGCAAGTCTGATTAGAAATATCAGCAAGTTGTGGAGCACTCTCGCCATCTTTACATTGCCGCAGGAAATCAATCCGGATCAAGTTACCTATTGATCTCTCTCTGTCAATCGCTCGTTTCGGTTTAAACACAGCTCCGACAATGCCGTTGTGTCGTTACCAGCGCATACGCACGACTGTCTGAAGGGAGGATCCCAACAAACGGTTGAATGGGACGGTGGCAAGAGCATCACGTCAGATTTCACGCTTGCGTGTGACAGCAGCGGTTGTTTAGCAGGAGACGGTGTTGTTGACTATACAAGGCAAGTCCGAAATCAAGCAACGAGCCACTCGATGCGGCTCCTTTACAGCGATTTGAGCACAGCAGTTTTCTCACAGGGAGAAAGCCTGAAAATCACTGCAAAGCACCGGAGGCTGCACGCCGCTGTTATGGCAACAACACTGTATTTAGAAGGCAGCATGCACGTGCTCATTAGTCCACTGAAATATTCCTGTTATATTATCAATCCTTTCACCAACCAGGTCTTGGACAATATGCTGCAACACGACTTAATATGCAGGTATGGCTGGTGCTGTTTTGGGCAGCGCATTAATATGTTAATCAGCTGTAATGCGGTCACAGGTGCGCCTTTATCAGGCACAAGATAACAGCCACACGTAATAAAGACTGTTAACCAATTTCAGATTAGCCTAATCCCTCACGTGACTGGATATGTAACGGATTAGGATCTGAGTTCAGATCTGACATATGGAGCCCAGGAGCTGACCAAATGAAGCACAAACTGAATTCATTAATAACTAATAAGCCTAAATAATTCAGTCTGGTTAAATTAAAGGGAAACCTCAGTGTTTTTTTCAACCTGGACCCTATTTTCCCGTGTTTTTGTGTCTAAGTGACCAACAGGGACAAAGATGTTTTAAATTGGTCCAGTACTGATCAACAGCAGCCTGTGGGGCATGTTCGCAAAGTCAATTTATGTCCATTAAAAGTGCTTTTTTTGCTACTGACAGGCTCAGACTATTATTCTAAGTGTCTGACAACATTATGGAAAGGATCCCAACAGAGATAGACCTTTTTGTCAAAGAGTAAAATCTTTTTGTTTGACCAAATCAGTACCGAAAACGCTATCACCAAACCAACCAGACTGTTTAGAAATGGCCCGAGGAACGTAACAAAAATCAAAAATCCCATTATGATTGAGCATCTGTGGGATGTGCCGCTACCCTACCTTGCAACCCACAGGATTCAAAGGATACACCGCTGACGGTCTGGTGCCAGACACCACAGGACACCTCTAGAGGTCCCAGAGGCCTCAACAGGTCACAGGTTGCCGAGGCATAGACACAGGATCTCTGGGGTACCTGCACGTCCTATGAATGATTGATCGGATTGGGATCAGGGGAATTTGAAGGCCAGGTTGGCACCTTGAGCTCTTTGTCACGTTCCTGAGCAGTTTCTGCAGTGTGGCATGGTACAGTCTCCTGCTAAGGGGGCCACTGCCATCAGGGAGTGCCGTTGCCATGAGGGGGATACTTGGTCTGCAACAGTGTTTAGGTGTACGGTGTTTGTCAACTGGCATCCACATGAATGCCGGGACCCAAGGTTTCCCAGCAGGAACTTGCACTGTAACAAGATGTAACAAGACGATCCATGTTAATCACTTCACCACCCCTCCATGGGTGGTGGTGGTGGTGGTGGTGGTGTGTCTTCCTCAAGGTCAGGTCCTCCTCAGGCCTGGGAGTTGGAGGGTTCTGCGCAGTATCTTAGCTGTGCCTTGGACTGCACTGTTCTGGACAGAGACCTCAGATGTTGTACCTGGAATCTGTTGGAGCCACTCTCACAGCCCTGCTCGGATCACCACTGTTACCTTTACTCCCCACATCTTTTCCAGCTCCTCTGTCAGTCCTTGGGATTTTTTGAGCTTCTCGTGTTCCTATATATACCCATGTTAGAAAATAAGCTAAAGTGCCCTTGGATACCGCATCTGTAGTGGCCTTATGGTAGATGAAACATGACAAAGTGTGCCCTCTGGGGTGGCTCTAAATGGAAAAGACATGATAAAGAGCCCTCTGGGGTACCCCTCCAGTGGAGAAAACAAAATGAAATGCCCTTTATGGTGGCCTTAATGGAGAAGACAGGATGCAGTGGCATGTATGCTGCCCTACAGGCTAGAAAACTTTCTGGTGTCCCCTTTATTTATTTTTTTTTATATCCATCATTCCATCCATATATCTTGCTGGAGAGAACCGTGGCCTCGTGCCTCATAAAGTGATGCAGATCGCTTAGTGAAAATAGCTTTATTATTTTGAGAAAAAAGAAAGAAAGAAAGAAAGAAAGAAAGAAGAGGAAATAAATGCTTATTTATTCAGCATATACAAACTGTAACATACAGAACATGTTGATAGTCTCCAAAAGCAACTTTGGAACAGCCAGAACTGTATGAACAACAAAGTGCAGTGCATGTGGAGTACAGAATGATATCTAATAAAAAAAAAAAAAAAAGAAAAACAAAAGAAGAAGTCGTGTGTGTGTGTGTGTGTGTGTGTGTGTGCGCGCGTGTGCAACATCAACATATAAACCAGTGTTTTGCCTACATTTAGTATATTTTTGAGTCAGGATCACCTGAAACATGCTGGTTTATCAAATAAGATAACGTAACAGCAGACCTGAACAACACTGCACATTTCAGCAAACGAGACATGGTGGCATTTACAGTGTATGGATACATTCATTAGCTTGTCGTACACAACTGTCACCTATAGGAGTCATCCAAATGTGAAAAGAGGAGAAAAAGACGCACACAATATTTGTTTCAGGTTCCAATTTTTGACAGTGCGTGACCCCAATCATCTCAAATTCAACAGTGTGTCAGTGCAAACATTTACCATCCATTTCAAATACAAATGAAGGGCAACAACCGTTTATTTTTTACTGAATGTTTTTTCCCCCTCAATTAACATTTATTTTCTAATCTCAAGAACATACATGAGGTTGGTGAAGTTGTCTTTTGTGCCCGAGAAAGAACCAAGAGCTCCAGTTATTCATACAAACAACACAGAAGTACTTTTTTCCAAGTAAATCCCAGTTTCTGTTCAGTCCAGGTTCAGCTCAAATGTGGTCATTATGTCCCGCTGCATAGTCATGTCAATGCCAGACATCTGTAAAGAGAAAACAAACCACAGATTGGTTGTTTAAACCTCATTTTACTACAAAAAACAAATTAGCCCTCAAGCATGGATGAGGGTACTCACAGCCTCTCGCCTGCGACGTTCTTGCTCCCTCTTGCGGGCCATCTCTCTTTGCCTATCGACTGAGGACTGCGTGGTTAGAGGTTGGGTTTCTGTGGGAGACTTTGGCTTATGTGTCTCAACATCTTTAGGTGCGTCGAGGACACCTTCTGTACAATCAGGTGAATCAGGATCCTCCTTAATAGGCTGTGAATTTGTTTCTGCTTTACAAGTGGCTGGTAAGCTAGAAGGAAAATGACCGTATTAACTAAAATTAATTCTTAAAATCATCCACCAGGCTTTAACAGAGAAATGCTCCTTTGGTTTATAGGTACTTTTTCAAAAACTGGGATTTGGGTAGTCTAAATTATGCTGAAAAATGTAGTGGCATCTTTTAAACCTTGTCTAAGGGCAGCATTTTTAAGCTCGACTCCACCTGTCCTGGTTTTTCAAATGGAAACACCCACTCAGCTGTGGGCAAAAAGCAGTGACATAGGTTAGAGTGCTGATAATAATAATAATAATAATAATAATAATAATAATAATACTACTACTACTACTAATAATAATAATAATAATAATAATGATAATGACGGAAAGGGTTTGTTCAAATTTTTTGAAATGGGGTTGTTTGAGGTTTTCAATCCATAATCAGTGTATTACCTACAGTAGATCCTACAGTAGACCTTCCAAACCATGAAAGTCGCTTGTCTCCTGCTGCCTTGTTTGGTTACTGCGTGACTTTTGGATGTGAACTAACGGGGCATTCACAGCAGTGTATCATTATGCACCCATACCAGTTAGAAGGTTGAGACAAATACTCGAATGAAACAAGTATCATCTGAGTAAAATGTGTCAATATCCGTTCTCGTGATGACGGAAAATCCTCACTTGGGTAGCCATGTGCAATCTCTTACTCTTCAAATCAAAAAATGATCTGAAGCTTAGGATGCATTCACACTGGCGATATGTGGTCCACTTTAAACAAACCCTGATCGGCTTCTACGGATAGTTCGGTTCGTTTGGAGTGGTGTGAACGTTCATGCGAACTCTGGTGCGGAAACCAAACGAGCGAACCCTGGTCCGCTTGAAAACTGTGGTTCTCGGTTCACTTGCAATTGAACCCTGGTGTTTTTCACTTACAGTGGGAAATGCAAAAGGACTATCCAGCGAACGAAACAGAGGAAGGGAACCAAAGAGAGGAAGTGACGTAGAGCGCAGTGCATTTTGGCGTTTGGTGCTTTTGTGGTGACCAAGCGGCTGAAGAGGATGGATTTCCATTTTTGGTCCTGGCCAATCGAGCAGGGTTTTCTCCTTCCTCATGCTTTTTTTCTTCCTGGACAGTGGTCGTATTGGGCAATACCGCCCGCAAACGAGCAGCTCTTGTAACTGCGTGACGTTGTCCAGGCGGTTTGGTCCGCTTTAAAAAGTGCAGTGTGAAAGGGAACCGAACCAAATGAAGATGTGAAATTCTTCGCCATTGCCCGCCCAATCGTACCAAGACGCCCAGACTATCCTGGTGTGAATGCACCCTAAATCTTGAGATTGTTTTGTTAATAGATTTGTCCTATATAATAAATATAACAACTGATCAACCCAAATCAATTTCAAGCTTAAGACAGATAAGACTTTGCAATAATTTAACTGTACAACACTCTTCTATCTATGTTTTTAAGCAGTGTCTTTGCCCCATTTTAACAACAAATTTCACTTTCCGTGTGAGCACCAAAATACACAGAAAGCTAGCATAGCATCAGCTAACTACACTAAATAACACAGTGCCACAGGAACAAAATTGGTTAACGCCTTACTGTGTCATTGGAGCACTAAAAAAGGTTGAGGCTGGTTAAACTTTTCGTCAAGACCATCAACAGCGACATGTTTCAGGTGTCAAGTTGTAGCTTCATGTCACCAGCTTCCATTGAAAAGAAACTGTAGTCTGTTGCTGTGTCGCTCTTAGTCTGAATGCAGCATTAACACAATTAACACAAAAGCCAAAGAAGACTTGGCTCAGTCACGAAGAGGCACATTAGGGGGGTTTTATATGAAGCAACATCAACATGCAGAAACCTATGTCTGGTCGGGTGGGAATTGTTTTAGTAAGGTCTTGGGAAAATAGGATTTTGACACTAAAATATATGTACTTCAACCAAAATTTGAATGTTTGGATTTAAATACATAAAGAAAATGATTTAAAATCCTCATAAATAATACATTATGGACCCACTTTTCAATAAAGAAATTAAATTCAGAAGTAAATCTGATGTATTTGCTGAATACCTGCTCTTTTCAGAAACCTCCTTCTCCTTGTTGTCCTCCATCTGTTTCTTCTTCAGTGCTTTTTCACGCTCTTCCTTTTCTATGGCGGCCTTACGGAACTGCTGAAAACTCTCCTTTGAGGACTTGATTGCAGTTGCAGTGACTGACTGTCTCACCAGTTTGGCCCAAGACTCAGCATTTTTTAGAACGATGTCCTAAACAAGATAAATCACCATGTTTACTTACAATCCATTTCCAGTGTGGTGGGAATTGGTGGCACCAACTAGGATCATCTTTAAAGCTGCGTTAACTGATTTCTGTCCAATAAAAAGGACAGAAAAACATTGTCTTATCAACTGTGTCCATCTGTTGTAATTAATCCTCATTGGTGCAACCCTCCCTCGGCATCCTGATCGCCAAAATCATTCAACATTCCAGGAAAATGATGTCAACACTTGTTTGTAATTATAAACTCAGTTAAACAATGCTAACCTTTTTGGGATGTTTTTCCTCTTCAGCAGATTTACTTGCTTCATTAGTGTAAGGCACATTAGTCGGCTGACTGTCGGGAAGATCCTCAGGGTACCCGGAATCTGGCAGAATTACTTTCAAAATAAGTGTTCTGCTTAAGTATTAGTTATTTCAAAATAAATGCTGATGTAAAAGTAGGCGCTCACCTAGCGACTTACTGGACGTGGTCTCATCTTTGGACTGCAGTGGGCTGTCTCTCAAAGGGGACAGCACAGGGCCTGGCTGAAAGTTGACATTGAGTTTTAACATTTAAAATCTTCATGTCCTTCTTCATGTCATTGAGAGCAATGAGAGCACCACGTCTTTACACTCCGCTATAAACAGCAGCAGCGTGATAAGGCACTGGGTGTGAATTCTGCGCCTAGTACTGCCAGTTTGGCCTTTTTTTCCTGGAGCGCTGAGAATGTGAAAATGTCTAACTTAAGGTAAAAACACCGCGCCCATCACTGTCACTTCAGCCGTTAAATCACAGCAGAGGAGGGACAAATACCACAAAGACAACTGTCACATCCTACATGTACAAGTGCTGATGAACAACAACGGAGGTTAATTTCCTGTCACCCAAAGCAAGTACTCTACCTTGTGTTGAAGTGTAGCCTGGTTCCAGACCATAGACCCCGCCCACTCAACTGAGTAGGCTTGCATCTCTGGTCTGGCATACTTCAATGAATTTGCGATTTATCTTGTCCAAATGATGGACGGACCAATGAACGCCGGGGGTGGGGGCGGGTCTAGCGAATAGCCAATCAGCACCACGCTGATGTCAAGCTGTACGCCGGTGGGTAACTGGTGAGGATAGCAACAATGGCGACCGCTACAGATCCTACAGACTACATTAACGATGCTATCGAGGTATTTCGCCACTACTCGTGTTAATGGAGGACCAAATTAAGGAAGCTGCTAAACTGGATTTAATGGAGATGCAGCTGGGCGTGCACGACGACGGAGACATTTTAAACGGGCAATGCTCGCTTGTTTTCGGCACCCCTGATGCATGGATACTAATGACGTCAGATTCTGGGTGAGTCGTTGATCTCTACTGATTGGTTAGGGAAAAATCAAATCCTCCCCCCCTTGTAAATCGCCTTCAATGGAGGCGATGTCAGACTGAAGGCTCTGGGAGCTTCAGTCTGACACTCAGGCTAGTTGAAGTGTATACGTGAGGATATTTGGAAACATAGCAACCAGACACAAACAAAGCGTCTCAGCTAAAAAAGCCGCACTTCCAAAGTGCTCTCAAACGCTCCCAGCTGGCTGTTTCCTGAGGAGCGCCTGGCATTTCCAGCTGGGAGAAAAACACTTTGGTGGACACGGCCCCTTCAGAGTGCTCTGTAAATGCAACTTGGCCATGTGTATGATATAACAAGAGCTCAACAGCTACCATGAAGTGTTGATTTTAAGGTTATTCACACTGTCAAAGGGGTTACACATAGAGCCTTTTCCACTAAATAAACATGCGTCGTTTGATCTCATTTATATGCAGGTCATTTAAAAAGGTACAGTCCAAGTGTTTCAGTAGAAGTACCTCAAATCTGGTGGCAGCCCAGTCCAGCAACACTCCTGGAGAGGCCATGGGGGATAAAAGTGCAGACAAATCTGCCAAACAATAAAGGACAGATATTGATCAGAGGCATGTGAGAAGAAAAGAGCTACTGTGCGCTTATAAAAACGTACAGCATGAGCTAGTGCACAGTAAAATCAAGCTAGGGCAGGAAGAAGCAGCATGAGATGGAGTGAAATAGGGGCAGTAATTGACTGGTCCCTTCCTGTTCAGCTTCATTAGAACAGAGTGTAAGTGAGCCAGTTTTCACTTCCTGAACTTTTGTTTCTGAAGGACACTGAGCATATGGGGCAATTAAAGGGGAACAGGCTGCCTGGGCTGGGCTGAACAGGCACTGGAAGAGGTTTACTTGATGTGGAGCTGCATCAGTGAGGGAGGAATAAGGAATCTCAATGAGGTATTTGTTAAAAGAGCTGACAAAGCTGATCTGAGAGTGTGAGTGAGGGTGAGTACGGGGTTTTTGGGAGGTATTAATGCTGCTCTGGCACAAAAGGCTGGGAAAGAAACGAGAGGATAATGCAGAACTAAGAAAAACAAACATGGGGTTAATGTAAACAGTCTCACCTCAGCATCAGAAAGACAAAAACGTATATTCATTTGAAGTGATATCAAGTTGAAGCAAAAGGTGACCCAGTTTTTCTGAGCCCAAGGCTTACACACTTCCATTGTCTTAATGAAAATCACTATTTTAAAATCATCCTGTAAATTTAACATGCATTTCCTGCCAAACTTCGATTCTACCTTAGTGTAGTGACAAGAGGACAAATGTGAGCAGTACCTGGTGGTGATAGAGTCAGCCCATCACAGGTCTGGTCTTCACTACGGTGTGCTGGGGGGCCTTTGGTTTCTGCTGCCGACAACTGCACAGCAAGAGGGGGCTGACAGGTCTTGACCGAGGCTTTTGTCAGATCTTTTGTCTCCATTTTCTGCTTGCCACAGGCAGCGCGAGTCACCTTTGACTTAAGAAGAAGGGACATTTTTACTTTTGATTGTAACCAGCATGATTATCTCATCATGAATCTCTTGATTTCATTGAGCAAATACTGAATGTATTTACCTTCTTCTTCACCTTTTGGCAAGAGTCTTTAGTTTTTGGCTTCTTTGTTTTTGGCACTGAAAGACATGCACATTAATAATTCACAGTCTACAGAGTGAGGAGTCATAATTGCTCAGCTTTCTGCTAACTGAAGCCAAAAGCTCACATCTGCAGCTTATTCAAGTTGATATTTATGTAGCTAGCTAGAGCCTTGAGTCACATTATGTCCTATGCCTCGCTATCCGCTACTACAGACCACCTCGCCGGGAGGAGCGTAGGCAGCAGTTCCGGAGACAAACCCCCAGTTAGCATCTGCAGCAACTAGAACTCAGCCAGCAACTGGGAACATGACATGTGCACCTGTTTCATGTGGACAGAGTATTAAAAGTTGTGTGTGCAATTAAAGGATAACTTCGGTATTTTTCAACCTGGGCCCTATTTCCCCATCTATATGTGTGCGTATGATTCATAGGTACAACTCATTTTAAAATTGGTTCAGTATTGAGGGAGGTGGATGCAGCCGGCAGCCGCGAGGTAGATATGGGGGCAAATGCGTCCCCTATAAGTTTGCGCATTAAAAGTGCTTTTTTTCGCCACTGACCGGTTCAGATCACCAGTGCTATCTCTGTAAATAGCATACTAAGCGTTTCCCTTACCCTTCACTTCCTCCTGGCTGTGTGTGACGTCATCATGCGAGAGCTTTGCTTGTTGCCGGAAGAAAACAACAATTCTAGGTATCAGTATTGCATGCATCAAGACATATTAGTTATACTTACTTGATGGATAGTTGACCATTTGGTCTCTGTGGTTTTGGCCGCCTCCTCCAATTTATTTTGGGCACATGAAAAAAGGTATCCAGCACTGCCCTGTTGATCAGAGGGGGGAAATCCTCTAACGTAGTTACACAGCGTTTGGTAGTTTCTGTATCATCACAGGACACATCGAGACCATGAATATTGGGCAACAGGTCCCACTCGTTGCAACAGAGACATTCTTCCTCTGTGGGCATGGAGTCACAGCAACCACAGGAGCACCACCAGTCCTCAGAGATTCGCTTAGTATGCTATTTACAGAGATAGCACTGGCGATCTGAACCAATCAGTGGCGAAAAAAGCATTTTTAATGCGCAAACTTATACGGGACGCATTTGCCCCCATATCTACCTCGCGGCTGCATCCGCCTCCCTCAATGCTGAACCAATTTTCAAACGAGTTGTACCTATGAATCATACGCACACATACACATGGGAAAATAGGGCCCAGGTTGAAAAATACCTAAGTTATCCTTTAAGTCTGACTCACCAGATGTAGACTGAGACTGTAAGCCTGCCACTGGGCTGCTGATTTCAGCCAGCATTCTCCCTCCCTTCCGCTATATGCCTGTTACCATTTCCAAACAACAACCTCCAAGCTAACAACTTACACGCTAAACACTAATTTCATGGACGTTCCAATCTATTCCACATTACTAAAGCTTCTCTGATATCGTTGTAATAATTTTCTGCTAGAGCTACATAGAGTCATCTGTGGTTTCAACTGGTCTGTTGAGCTCCTCCCGAGCTGAAGTAGAGTCAGGCTTCATCTCTAGGGTTACGATCATCAGATTATGTTTGTCTTTTCTACAACTTAAAATTGAATCATGTGACTGTTAATGTCTTTGTGGCGTTTTCTTTTGCAGAGAAATTTTAATGACAGTACTCAGCTCCCCCACATGCAAATGTTCCACTAAAACAAGTTCACCCCTGACACTATTTTGCAAGAGCACCATCGCTGCATCCTGGTGAGTGCAGCCCAAGATGACTGTGATTGGTTTAAAGAAACAAAAACAAGCCAGTGTGTTTTTTCCCCCACTATAGCAGAAAGATAATCGGTGATTCCAAATCCTTCTCTAGCGCTGACACAAGACTAGTGTAAAATAGACAAAGACCAAACACCTGATGAATGTGCAAAAACATAAAACAATTTAATATGTGGTGTGCAACCAAGAGACAGCTTTGAAAGGTAGAGGTAAGGCACCCAGGTGAATAAATGACCCACAGCTTATTTCTCATTTTAAGAAAGGAGAGTGGACTATGGTGAACCAAAGGCAGGTGAGGGTATAATGCTAAACGGGAAAGCAGCTAACCTGATTCAGAGTCACTGCTATCAGAAGTGCTAGAATGACTACTGCTGCTGCTGCTGGAGCTGCTTTCAGAGCTGGACGAAGAGCTGCTGCTGCTGCTGCTGCTGCTGTCACTGAGGCGTGAAGGGCAGCCGAGGTCAGGAGCTGCCACGGGTTTAGCTGTTCACAAAAGAGAGGTAAAGTGTCATTTTTACATTTAATGCCTCACGAGTGGAAGCCCAACTGTGACAATTACATTGCTAATCAAATTCAGATTTTACCTGATTGCTTTTTTTTCTTAATTGAGTGCTGCTCTTTAGCGGCAACCTGAGGTGTCCTGACATCCTTTAGTTTTCCAGGCGGCGGTCCTTCTGTAGGCTTCACCTGCTTTTTTTCTGAGGACAGAAGAAATAATAACCCTACATTTTTAAAAGGTGCATTTGCTGACAGGAAGATTAAGCAAAGCAGGAGGACCGAGCTGTACTTACGGCCAGTTTTCTTGTTGCATTTTCTCAGACATGCTGCAACAAACCTCTGCAGGGCTCTCAGTGTGGAAGGCTTGAGTATTTCAAAGTCAACCTCAATATCCTCGAGAGATGATTTTCGCAGACAGGACTCCCTGGCATGAATGATCTTCACCAACTTGCCCAGTTTGTCACCAGGCAGCTTGTTGATGTCTATTTTCAACTGCCTTTTCTCCTCGTAGCTCACCGGTGCTGATGAGACCTCATCCTTGCATTTCAAAGGTACTCCATGAATACTGTGTCTGTTGCCATGCCTAGACGTACAAATGAAACATCTAATGTTAACGTTAGCACATGGGGAATACTCAGTTTAACATTAGTATGACATATAAACCATATTAATTGGAGCTTACTTACAAAGTAGAGATCTTGTGGTTGGCTTTTTCTACAATAGATTTGTACTTTGATGACTTGTGTTTTAGTCGAGCGATGTCCTTCTCTTTGGCTCTCTTTTCCTTTTTCAACTTGTCTTTCTTCTTCGGTTTCAGCAGGGGCTCTTGGGCAAGTCTTTTCAGCTGGTCGCTGACAGCTTTCAACTGCAAAGCCAGCCATTAATGAGCCAATTAGGTTAAAATGCACTGAAGCGAATAACTGCTCAAAAGCCATTTGCACTGTTACTGGCATGAATACACCCACCCGCTCCTCTAGATTGGCCAGCTGCACGGCCACCTCCTCTGATGGACTCTCCGCCTCTACGGAGCTCTCGGTTTCAGAACTTTCTGAAGTTGACACACTTCCAGCTCCGTCTCCTTGTCTCTTGTCAGCTCGATGATGAGGTATGGAACAACCCTCTGCTTCTTGGGGAACTTTCAGATATCGGGCCTCAAAAACTTCCTGTTGATAGAAACAACTGTTTTTTGCCATTTGCCAGTATTAATTATCTAAAGCCTACTCCATTTCTGATCCTTTGTGTATTGTTACCTTTTGTGTTCACGTATGCCAGCTGTAATATGGCGTGCAACACTGGAACCAATCCATATTGCACAGTGTTGCCAACAATCAAACAAATAAACAGTGACAGTTAATGATATCTATATTTACAGCGCGTCTACGTTGCCAAAGAGAATAGAGACGCCTTCCCCTACAAAAAATGTCACTATTTTAGCAACATTTAACAAGTGCACCACACCTATGAAGTGATACTGTTGCTTGTCAACAGCATTTACAACATTTACAACCTCTCAGCATTTACACCTCGACATCATTAACACCTCTGCGTTTCGTTTATTCTGGAGATATAAAAGGCTGTTCAAACCTTCCTGCCACCACTGTGTCTCAACAGATACAATGCTAAAACACAAAAGAGCACAATTAAAAACATCACATAAAGTAGGTAACAAACATAACTTATGGTACCATGTGGAGTTTTTGACCACTAGTTGTGCTACGGAGCAATCATGTTAGGTATGTGCCCCAGTTTTGTTCTGCCTTGTAAGCCTGTTTGGGCATCTATTGATGTATGATGCTAAATTAATATTAAAATACAGACTCACCCCCCAAAATCTGAGTAGATTTTTGTTGTTGGACATAATTTAATCAATCTAAATGTCAATATGTTTCAGCACCATTTAGTTGGACATATTTCTCAGTATGGCATTATGATGATCACTTTGAGAATTTATCAGGAGTCATGTAAAAGTCATCTGAAAATTGGCAGGCAAGTCTAGTCGCAACCATGCCAGCAGTCCAAAGAGCAAAAACCTAAGTGTGTCATTGTAAATTGATGATCAAAAAATTTGCTAGCTTATCCAAAAAGTGTAGCTGACAAGAATGCGCATCTGGCACATAACACTCGGTGTGAGGCAGGTTTAAAAAAAAAAGAAAAAACACTTTTAGGGAGTCCTGTGTCAACAAAGGCAAAGCATGCCAGCGAGCTCAGGTGAACGTACACAATGTAGGTTTCAAATTCTTCCGAAAATTGTGTTAGCAGAAGCTCTATGATGAATATATTCAGAAACACACTAACTATAAAACTAGCTTTGTTTATAATAAAACTCCATTTGGTACCTTTTAGTATTGCCATACTGATTGGACCGAACAAAAAAATAAAATAAAATCTATACCTGCAGCTGTCTCGCCATGTAGACGACCTCATGCGATGGTGGATTGTATTTGTAACAGTTTGAGAACATCAGTCGGACATCAACAGCAAATTCCTTTGCATTTGCATACTCCCGTTGATCCATTTTTTTCTGAGGAGACGAAACATTATGGAAAACTCATCTGACTTATATTCAAAATAATGTTGCGTAATAATTTTCATCGTCATATTCATCTTACCCTGATGGTGCTCAGGTCCATCGGCTGCTTGATGATGTCATGGTAGTCGTGCAAGCCCAAAGCCACAGCATCAACGGGGGTGTAAAAGGGCCATGCGTATGGGTAGTGTCTCTTGGAGAGCATCTCCTTCAGGATATCGTTACAGTATCGGAGCTGCTCGGACAGTCTGACCTTCTTGCTCTCTACGGCAGGCAAGTCTTTCTTTGGAGCTTTGACCGGCCTTCTTCTGGAGAATAATGTACAAGGTGCTGCATGATCCCCACAAGCAGACACCTCGTGACTGGTGACAAGGGAGGTGGTGGAGGTCGTGGGGTCTGCTTTCCTCTTGAAAGCTTTTTTAATCTAAACATTTAGAACAAGGTTACAGTTAATAAGTTGGATAAAGCAGTGGGACAAAGAATGTACAATTTGCTAATTTCATGCAAATGAGAAATTCTGTCTAACACGATAAAGCATTTATTGCACACATCAATAGACTGACATGCAAACCACAGAACGAGCTACTACTGGTGCATTGGACTCAATCATTGATTTTACCTTGTAAAAATTTGGGTAAAAAAGTTATTTATGAACTAGATTTTCTCAACAGCATATTCTGGTTTCTTTTCTTACTGAAATAACGAGCCAAACAACCTCTTTCCTGCAACGTCTCAAACCCTTATGGTCAATTTCAATATTTAAAGTCAGTATTTAAACTGTGTAAGTGCACCTTACCGTTACTGCATCAATTTGTGCAGAGAGCTGGATGGGTGGGATGAATTGAGGCACATCTGGTGGAATAACTGTCACAGTCTGCTGGAGAACAACTTCTGACACAAGGGATCTCTGATGTATTGCACCTGCATGACATGAGGTCAAGTGCGTACATACACAAGAATCAGATACCATTTTAAAATTGGTAAAATTAGGCAGCACACTTCTTTTGTGCCATTGCTGCACTGCAAAGTTCTAACATGGCAATATTTGGAGGTGTCTGGGACATTGTCAAATACACCTGCAGCAATCATCAAATCATGAAAAATCCAATTACACAGAGTAGCCCAAGATTTTTAAAAAGTAAAACTGGCCCACATCTTAAGAGACTGATGCTGTGTGAGATACCTGCATTCATCTTTTTCCCTTTCACTGGTTCCTTCGCAGTGATTGCCGTGACTTCCCACTCTTCCTTCGGCATTTGGGACACTTTGTGCAAAAAAAGCTTCTCCAGGGTCTGTGCCATAAAAACAATGTCATCTCCAGGCTGTGGAAAAAAAATGTATACATTAGAATTAAATAAAAGCATTCAATGTAGCATGTACTCTTATGGTAACCACAGAAATGTTTTAAATTGATCTTAAGCTCTGTGGTGACCTAACAAAACATCTTTTTGGGTGGGTAAGAGTAGCTACATCATTTGCATTACAGTATGACAGAACAGCAAGAAGGGTTTGTGAACGATATATCAGTTCACAGACCTACTTCTGCCCTACAAAACCTCCTCACAACTAATTTTCTCTATGTCTGCTATCTCTGGGTGGGCAGTTTGAAATGCCCTTTGCAGTATGTACATGTTGGTGGGTTACAAATAGTGTCCTCTTACCCGATTGTACACGTAGCAGTTGGTGAACATGGTGTTGAAGTCTTCTATACATTCAAGTGCTTTCCAGTAGTAGTTGTTCTGAAGACGCTTCTTGATAGTGCTCAGATCCATAGGCTTTGTAATAATGGTGTAATAATCCTGAAAGACAACAAACACATTGGCATGAATACACCAAAATCTTCCCCTCCCACATCACAGTCTAATGGAAGTTATCCACCAAGACAAAGCCCGCTGACTGCCCCTAATTTGAGGTTCAAACACTGCAATACGATTGTTACAATGAGAGTGAGAAAAAAGCAACACATGTTAGAGTTGTGCTGTGATGCTACAAAAACTACTGTATGACTTACTGGGAGATGCAGCGCCACTGCATCAACTGGCTGGCGAAAGGGCCACGAAAAGTTATGCCTCAGTAAAGCTTTGATCACCACCTTCTCCAGGTACTGTAGCTGATTGGTTACACGTCCAGGGTTCTTGGGATTTATGACCTCCGGCGGAGGGGGGTTTCCACTCACAGTGGGACAGACTTTCACATCAGACATTGTGTCATCCAAAAGGCCATGAAGGGGGGAGCAGTCCGTAGTAGGCTTTGCTGTGACTTAGTGTTCATCACACGTTTTCCTGAACAAGGAGTAAAGAGCAGTTTCCAGTGCTTCAGTGAAGAAGTAAACTGGGGATAACATTATGAAAACAAAAATTAATTCAGTTAAAGTATCTCTTCTGTCTTTATGCCTTACATCTGACATCCTTAAACCTGGACCCTACATTACCCATAATACAACCGGACCACCAACAGTTGAGCTCATCATCCATATGTTAGCTAGTAGCAGCTAATGGTTTTAATTTACTTAATACCATATAAAAACAAAAATCATTTATTAACCATTAATACATGCTAATAACATGTATTGTTTCTGCAGCGTCAAATGTGTATCAATCCACAGCAGAAAATAGTCCCACCAAAAATGCAGTATTTACTGCTGTTTGAGTAAAGTTTGCTAAAAACCACAGTGCCCAGCTGTCTTAAAAAATGGCTGATGAAATGAGGTTTTTGTTTTAGTTACGGGATATGCCTTAATTATGTCTGTGAGTTTAACTGCTTCCTGTGAAAAACCGAATAGCTATCAAAGTGTGTCTAAAAATGTCAGTCAAATGGACAGCAACACCTACATAGGAGTGCAGTGGATGCTCAGGAGCATCTTGCCTGCTAAACATGGTAATACTGCCACCTACAGCATCTCTCACAAACTTTTCCATTCCGCATTTTAGCCCAGCAAAAAAAAAAAAAAAAAAAGACCATGAAAGACCCATGATTCTAACGGGCATTTTGAATATTTTAGATGGTAAAGCACTAAAGTATTAACAAATATTCCATGCCACACTGTGTTTTTAATTTTTTTTTTTTTTTTTTTGTCAAACATACCACTTATTTTCATTTCAAACCCCATCTCATATCAATTCACATTCCAAGTTCTGTTTACTTACACTGCCTGGCCAAAAAAAAGTCGCCACCTGGATTTAACTAAGCAAATAGGTACGAGCCTCCTATTGGATAATTACTGCATGGGCGATTATCTTTCAGCTGGCAACAAGTTATTTAACCCCAACTGGTGCAATGAGTTGCTTCTCATTTCCTAAACAACCATGTCGAAAGACACATCCCGTGGTCGTGGAAAAGATGTTAGTCTGTTTGAGAAGGGTCAAATCATTGGCATGCATCAAGCAGAGAAAACATCTAAGGAGATTGCAGAAACTACTAAAATTGGGTTAAGAACTGTCCAATGCAGTATTAAAAACTGGAAGGATAGTGGGGACCCATAGTCTTCGAGGAAGAAATGTGGCCGGAAAAAAATCCTCAATGATCGTGATCGGCGATCACTTAAATATTTGGTGAGATCAAATCGAAGAAAAACAACAGTAGAACTCAGGGCTATGTTTAATAGTGAAAGTAAGAGCATTTCCACACGCACAATGCGAAGGGAACTCAAGGGATTGGGACTGAACAGCTGTGTATCCTTAAGAAAACCACTAATCAGTGAGGCTAACTGGAAAAAAGGCTTCAATTTGCTAGGGAGCATAAAGATTGGACTCTGGAGCAATGAAGAAGGTCATGTGGTCTGATGAGTCCAGATTTACCCTGTTCCAGAGTGATGGGCGCATCAGGGTAAGAAGAGAGGCAGATGAAGTGATGCACCCATCATGCCTAGTGCCTACTGTACAAGCCTGTGGGGGCAGTGTTATGATCTGGGGTTGCTGCAGTTGGTCAGGTCTAGGTTCAGCAACAGTATGTGCTCAAAGAATGAGGTCAGCTGACTACCTGAATATACTGAATGACCAGGTTATTCCATCAATGGATTTTTTCTTCCCTGATGGCACGGGCATATTCCAAGATGACAATGCCAGGATTCATCGGGCTCAAATTGTGAAAGACTGGTTCAGGGAGCATGAGACATCATTTTCACACATGGATTGGCCACCACAGAGTCCAGACCTTAACCCCATTGAGAATCTTTGGGATGTGCTGGAGAAGGCTTTGCGCAGCGGTCAGACTATCATCATCAATGCAAGATCTTGGTGAAAAATTAATGCAACACTGGATGGAAATAAATCTTGTGACATTGCAGAAGCTTATCGAAACAATGCCACAGCGAATGCGTGCCGTAATCAAAGCTAAAGGCGGTCCAACAAAATATTAGAGTGTATGACCTTTTTTTTTGGTGGTGACTTTTTTTTTGGCCAGGCAGTGTATTTCCATTTTATTTTTTCATTTTAAAAGGATAAATTACAATACTTTAACACAAGAATATTTTTTGTGAAGTCAAGCACATTTTTGTGCTTTTGTTGGGTGCATATGTAGGCACAAAGTGAATTTCAATACCATATGACCGAGGCAACTAGCAACTAAATAATGACCTCCTTTACAGTCTGCCATGTCATACTTATTTAATTGCAAGATTGAAGGTCAAATGCTAATCCACATTCATAGTCATTTCACACAGGAAATCATTATGCTGGTAAAGCATAGTCATGTTTTTAGACATACTACAGCTGAAACAATGGCTGACACAACAATTATAAGGAGTATAGACGTAATAACAATAATAATAATTTAGTTAATTAAAACAATAATGAAAATAATCATATGTTGCTGAACTTACAAAGTTAAAACAAATTTAAGGTGTAACACTATCCTACTATTGATGCATGACATGCAAAAGGTTGTTTGTTGTCTGTCTGACAGAAACAGCTATCCAAAGGTAGACCCAGATCAAATAAATTATCCTTTAAGTACTCTTTAACTCTTACGATCCAATATTCAAAAGTAACATAATGCAACTAAGTAAATAAAGTGTTCGACTCTATTTCCAGTTGAAGAATCAACACACCAACTGTTTCAACCACACCAAGATGGTGTGATTGCAAAAATATGCTGTCAAGGTTCAGCAGCCTCAAAAATAAAATAAAACAATAAAAGATCAGCCTAATTGATGAAGGTCATCTCTCTCTCGTCTCTCTCTCTTTTGATATCTAAAGTACTAGTGTTAAACGCTGTAGCACAAGGCACATTTTATTCTATTTTAACGTAAATTTAATTTCTATTTTACTGCTTTATATTTACATACTTTTATTCTTACATCTTATAATAGTTTATTGTTTACATCAGCACAACTGTAACGAATTATCATTCACTCGGGAATCAATAAAGTATTTCTGATTCTGAAAGTGAAGCATCACTTTACCTGCCTCAAAAAATGTTCATTTGTGTTACCAGTAGGCTACAGCTTAAACTTCTCGCTAATTATTAAATTCATCTTACAATGAGATGTGTAAGGTGTTGCAAGCATGGCTGAATCTAAGATAAGCCTTTATTGATCACCAGCAGGGAAACTCAGGTGTTGCAGCAGCAAGCACAGATACGTAAAGTAAAAAAAATAAAACAAAATCAGAGGTAACTGCAACTAGTGTAGAGAAGAATTAAATTCTTAACTATACAAGAGCATTTAAAGACAAGGTTTTGAGGTGAAGTGACAAGTTGCACTGTATGATTGTCTGGTATAATAAGCTCATAATACACATCTTGTTTCCTGAAATTAGTTTTCAATTGTATCGACAGTCTAGCTCCAGAGCCTCCTTACAGATTTATTCAAGACAAGCGTGAGCAGTGTGAATGATTTGATGAATTGTAAAGTACCGTATCGTAAATCTAAATTTGGACAATCAGCTTTTTCCATAAAGGGCCGTTAACTCTGGAACATGTTACCCACTGCAATCAAACTGATTACAGATTTAGAAACCCTCACAACAAAGGTCAAGTGCTGGCTGAAAGCAAACCAGAGCTGTACCCACTCTCAGCCAATTGCACTTGAACATCTGAGGGATATTAATGTGAGTGTGTTGGTGTACTGTGGTGTGTGTATAGTAGTATGTGGATAGTGGTATTTGTATTTTTATTGTGGCTTTCATGTTTAAGTGTATTATGGTTTTATGATGTTTAAAACTGTAGAATTGTAATAAAATTGTAGGCCTTGGGACAAGAGCGGAACATTAGCAAAAGCTATAAACTCTGTGCAACCCATCAGCCCCACACCCTGTATTGGGACTAACGTTATGTTAGATTGCATCGTCCCTATCAAATACATTTAAAAGAAAAATGTACATTAGAATAATATTTACGGCATTCACAAGTATTTCACGGGCAATTCAGGGTGATACAATGTCAAAATCAGTTTGAACGTGAGTATGACCGTGTCAAAGCATGTCTGCATGCTGCGGCTGTTGACATCTCTGGCCAACACGTGAAGCCACCACCACGCCCACTGGTTAGTTAAACAACTTACATTAGCTGAGAGCATGTCCACATGACAAACGAGGGGGCAATGTAGCTAATATTTCGCTTTAAAAAATTCTGTAAAATCAATTTCGTCCTGCGAATTCTTTAAACGACACAACGGTGACCTACGCATTTACGTTAGCTAGCTAACATTTGAAATAAAACCTGCTAAACGTCTCTGAAGGAATGCTAACAGGCGACTTCGGCTGCTTTAGCCTGCTTGCTAGCTAACTGACAGCCGGTACCACAATAAGTAGGTTCTTTAACCTTGTCAACAGCTGTATTATTTCTGCTTTATCTACCGTAGCACAGGCGATAACGTTACAGCTTACCGAGTGCGTTTTCACCGAATAAAGACGTACAGCTAACGTTAGCATAGCTAGCCTCGCGTAGCTAATAGCTAACGTCTAGCTAGCGTTAGCCGTTAAGATGTTAGCATAACGGGCTTCTTGCCAACTTATAACACTTCTTGCAAATGTGTCACCCATCGGTCGAGTCACACAAGCTACCATGACGTGAGTTTGCATTTTTAAACTAAGGCATCCAGTGAGCATTACCGTGCTAACGTTACCTTACGAGATATCACGGGCTCTTGCGTTCAACCCTTCAGCGGCAGACGTCTCTACGGCAACTGCCTCAAATTTATACCCCTGTGCACAAGGCTCCAGAACTGATTGGCCACAAGTCTAACTACACGTGTTGCACTTTGATTTTCTGCACAAGAAAAGTTGCTCGAAACATTTTCTTTCATGCAAAAAAAAAAACACAACCCACTGTGTGTCCTGCAAATGTGTAGCTACCTGGGATTGTAAAGCACTAACGTTACTTAGACATTTGTGGTTGAGTTGTTCCAAACAAAATGGCAACTCGGTGTCACGGAAGGATCCCGGAGGGTAATCGATTGATGAGAATACAGACCGATCGGTGCAAAGACACCAACCCTGCTGTAAATAATGTCACTAGTGTAGTTTGCGTCTCTCCGCACTAGCACTCAGTGTCTGTGACTACCAGCGGCGGAGCTCTGTGTGTGTGTGTGTGTGTGTGCAGCGACAGGAGCAGAAAACTGGAGTCTGGGCGGAGCGGTGAGTTCACGTGCTGACCCAGAAGCGGAAATCTCAGTTTCAATGAAAACAAAAGCTACAAACCCCTCTCTACCAGGAGAATTACTATATTGTTTATGTGATATGGCACGATCATGTTTCCCTTTTGCAGTTTATAGAAAATAACACGCCACATTAACCCTTTAACAGTTGTATATATGCGTTGCATTAATGCATATCCTTTTGAGCCACCATCTCTTTGCATTGCACGTTCTTTTTATTCTTAATAGGCCACCGTGAACATTTGCACATCCCCAAACAGTGGTCAGCAACCTCAATTATCAAAAGAGCCATTTTTGACCAAAAATAATTTTTAAGCAAAACATATTTTAGCCTTATGGTAACCTCTCTCGGCCACAGCCAATCATCTGCCTCCATCTAACCCTATCCTCTGCATGCTCTTCTCTCACACCAACTCACTTCATGTCCTCTCACAACATCCATAAATCTCCTCTTTGGTCTTCCTCCAGGCCTCTCGCCTGGCAGTTCCAACCTCATGTCCAAACCCTCTCAGTCTGGCCTCTCTGACTTTATCTCCAAAACATCTAACATGAGCTGTCCCTCTGATGTACTCAATCCTGATTCTAATCATCCTCGCCGCTCCCAAAGAGAACCTCAACATCTTCATCTCTGCTTCCTCCAGCTCTGCCTACTGTCTTTCTTCAGTGCCACTGTCTTGTACACCTTTCCTTTTAATCTTCCTGGTACTCTTCTGTCACACCTGACACTTTTCTCCACCTGATCCAACCTGCTTGCACACGTTTCTTCACTTCTTTTCCACACTCTCCGTTGCTCTGGACTGTTGACCCTAAGTACTTAAAATCCTCCGCCTTCTTTAGCCTTATGATAACACTGTGTATTAAATCTAAAGTAGCCTATTGACATTAAAAAAAGGTCTGAATGAGCATTCAAAATAGGTTTGACCACAAGATCAAGATGGCTCCTCTTGGTGTACTTTAACATTGCAGTGTTGGTAGTGACAGCAAACTAATCTATTAAATGAATGTATTAATCCTATTTTAATTCACTTATGGCACTAATTTAGACATAAAATTGCAAACAAAATCAATTTTTTTAGTCCAGGCTTCTTGAGGGCCCCCCTTCCATTATGGGCCCCAGGTAATCAGTTCCAGTTTTCCACCCACTATGACACCCCTGGTTGTTTTGTACTCTGTAGTCATTTTGTGTCTCTTTGTGGTTGTTTTGCCTGTTGTAGTAGTTAGTTTATGTCTCTTTCCAAATCCTTTGCATCTCTTTATGGTCATTTTGTGTTAATTTGATTAACATTTTGCAAGTGAAGGCCAGTTGCCCTCACTGACACTGTGGGCCCTTGAGCCTTTGCCCGGTAGACCCGTTCAGTTATCCATCCATGTCTACATTTATGTTTGCTGTCTACACACCACAATACCAAGTCAATGTGAAAATGTACTAAGCAAAAAAAAAAAAGAAAGAAAAAAGATTCTGACAACAACTTGCGCATCACCTCCTTTATAGCAGATGTTTTCCAGGACTTTCAGACTGGGAAATTTGAAACAATAGAATTTATAAATACGACCAACATGTAGAATCAGAAGTCTGAAGAATACTTTTTATTGTAGCCTATGGGATGAAGAGTTGTGATCATTAAAATGAGTGAGATGTGTGGATTTTACTGAGGTAACTTGAACTAGGCATGAGTTTACTTCCTGTAAGATGGAAATTCAGAATAAATTGTGAAAAACTCAGCCTAAGTGTTAGTGTCTGTACAAATTAAGGACTTTTATTGTGCTTATGATGGAATACAACATGAGGAAAACATAATGGTGTGAACAGTGGATTAAATGTACTACATGCATTAATCTATACTCTATGTAAGAATTGGTAAACTAAAAAAAATATGCTGTATTGAAAAGACACACTGTTTCCCCAAATTCTTCAATGATAAATTCCACAAGAAAAGTAATTTCAATCCCAATTTAATATTCAGTTTCTTGGACCTTGTAGCCCTATTATAAATTAAACGTGGAAAATGTAATTGCAACACATTTAGACTGATAGTTGTCATCTTAATGTCAGTGCAGCGCTGTCCCTTCATCGTTTTAGAATTTAGATTCAAAATTAGTTGCTTTATGTTGTAGTAGAAGTGATTTATTTTGGTCATTTTTCCAACTTATACCAAATATACGCAAATAAAATAGTGTTAACAATGATAAATCATTATGTTTTGAAGCAGTGACACCAAAGCAAGTTTCAGCTTTAAATATCAAGAATTAATAGTTTCATCAGTAGGACATGACTGCTCCATACTGTTTACTGTAAACACAAAAACATTGTGAAGACATTGCACTTTTGAAATATCCAATATTGTGTTCTCATTAATATTACCCTCTTGATCGTTTACACTTTTTGTCCACAAGATGGCGCCATGGGCAGAACTGTGGGCCCACTGCGATCCTGCAGAAGACGTTTGATGGCAGAGGCCTGTGGAATCTTGTTGTGGTTTGTGTTTTTGATTCCCAAATGTGACATTTTTTGCAGTTTTATCAACAAGACAGATCTCATTGTGACGTGACATCGTGTTATTTCACTCCCGAAAGCAAGCACAGGAAGCGGTGTAGACTATCATAAAGGGTTTAGTCTGTCTGTCATATCCAAGGACCAACTTCATATCTCTGCATATTCAGGGGAAACATGTCACCAATTTTATAGCATGAAGATTTGTAAGCTGTATATAATTAAGTCAGTGATAGCCCCACATTTAGTGTCGTATTGTGGCGAAGCAGTTCATTTTCCATGTCATACTCGGGGTGGAGGGCAGTAGAGATAAATGAAAGGAGATAAGGCCATTATGACGAGCACAATAAATAAAAGACAAAGTGAAAGGAGATTGAGAAAGTGACAGGAATGGGTGGTTATTCAGATTGTCAGATTTCCTAAATGAGTTCTGACCATAAATACTGACTCAGTGTCTGTTCTCCTGACAATGACAGGAAGCTTGTTCAGAAGGGAGGAGGTCATAAAGGAAAAGGCTCTGCCCCCCGATGTTTCTAATGTGAGGAGGAACAACAGGTATTTGTTTTTGAACGAAAAGATATAAACTTCTCAAACCAAGTGAGGGAAACAAGAAACGCTTTACTACTGATACTGGTATTATGATACTTGAGTATTTCAATTTTATCTTACTTTATACCTCTATAACTACAGTTTACGTCACCTTAATTTAAAAGTTAATCTTCATATCAAGACTGCACGTACAAAGCCTGCAGTGACCTTTCAATGTCTGATGCATTTTGTGGCCTCAGCAACCCAACAGGAAATGAAGTAGCTATAATTGACTACACCTTTAACAGCTACTGCTTGCTTACGTGATAACACGTCAGTACTTATTCATCCAGCAGTATGTTCTTGCATAACAAGTACTTTTACTTATGTGTGATATTTTAAAGACATTTTGCAGTCAACAACTTGCAATGACAGATTTTTATAATGTGGTTTTGCTGACTTCAGCTCAGGATCACACTTCTTCTAACACTGCTGCTACTTATCAGTGGTTTAATGTTATGTTCTGGTACTTAAGTATTTTTTGGAACTACCTGTACTATACTTGAGTTTTTATATTTCTGTCATCTTTCCCTTTTTATACTACAAGACCTAAATAAAATGTATACTCTTAGTCCAATACATTTTCCCTAAGTGTCTCCGTTACTCACTACAAAATAGGGATGGAAGGGAGGAGGGAAGGAGGGAGGAAGACGGACAGACGAACGAAGGGAAGGCAGGAAAACACTGGGTTTTGTTCTTTAAAGCCTTCAAGTTGTGAAAAAGACCTATTTTTTTCTTCAAGTGTAATGTAGATACAGTAAATTGAAGGGTAAGTATGGTAAATATCAGTTAGTTTGACTCAGTTAACATTGTAGTATGTCTCTTTAACTTCAACCAAAGTCAACTCCTGGTAAGATATTCGTAATATTACTCAAGTGTGGCTTTCCAATACTTCATCCACCACTGCTACTAATGCTCGGGTGAAGTTAAATAATTCGGGACACTTTTTGGCAGCTTACCAAGAAAACCACCCAAAATTCAGAAGACTACCTTGAGTGTTACTTTCAGAGCTTGTTGCAGATCTCTGCTAAGTTTTTATAAAGAAAATATGTTGCCAAGTAAAAAATGAACACATCAAGAGTCCCTAATTCACTCCAATGACATGTTCAGGTAAAATGGGACAGTCATGTTTGCTTTTTAAATGGTTAAATCCATGTATTGGTTCAGTCGTTAAGTCGTTAAATCATTAAAGTGACCTAACTATTCATTAAAAAAGATAATTCTGCCACGCTGTTCCTGTTCTCCTGCTCCCTGTTTTATTGGGTGACGTATTATTGACAATGAACATGCGTGTGTGTGTTTAACAATAGCCCTTACACACAGACCACACTTTAGGGCAGCAACGAAGTCCCGTCTTGATGCCCCTTTTGAATTTTTACACAGAACCAAACAACAGTGGAATCATGTCGCTCAGTGTGTGATTATAGACTGCATGGTGGCATCGCAGGAGCAAAAGAGGCATGACGGGGGTTATGTGTAACACAACAGCATCAGCCTCTAGTGTGATACAT